AGGGCTATCATGGTTGTCAACAAATGCACGTGCATGTGGGATGACAGAGTTTACGACAGTAGTAGAGGACAATTCTGTTTCGCAACTGTAGGGGGACCCCGAGAGCAAAAGTTACCCGGTGTTACTTTAATAAAAGCATTTAGAAATCATTTTGGATGGTTAAATAACCTGTTCTGGAGAGAATGGTGACTTTCCCCGCTCCCCCCAGCGTTCCCAGGCGGAAAGCCAACCTTGCAACATGGGGACTAACGTCCTGGTAAATTGGAAATAGGAAGTCTCGTGAGAAGTGAGAACGAGCGAGAAACACAAACTGCTTTATGGCAATTCGACAAAATTCTATGATACTGAAGTATCGCGATGATCATGTTTACAAGCCAGCGTCATTATAGTAGCCTAGTCTATTGGTTACCGTTTTACTGAATCTATATTATACTTCAATGCAATGTTTGAGTGGTAGATAATAACCATATATCGTATGTATTACCCACCTCGGTAGACATAGCTCCACACGATAAAGTTGGCCGGCTCCGATAATAACAAATGCACATGAGCAGCGGCAGAAAGGGGGAAGAGGTGCCGCAAGTGAGTTTTTTTTCGACAGTGTTGTGAAATATACGCCCCACAGCTGTAGGGGGAGCTCAATGAGAAAGGTTGCTCAATGAGGTTTATGTGCTTAAACAGCATGTGGGAAAACAAGACGTTCTTACCGCTCACAGTTTAGAATGAGTCGGGTGATTGTCCATCACCTCTTCTAAATCAGGGCGTAGGAGAATCTCTTTTTCTGTCTGTTCGAGAACACAAAAAAGGTAGTGAGTGGGAAAGTGGGTGTAATTCTTTGTTTTAAATAATTAAGTTGACGACAGCAGGTCAGGTAAATGTAAAAAGAATGCAGTGCAAACATGTATTGACACCTTTTACAAACCGATTGCAGATGTTTCCATTGTTATCAAAAATAATGTACAAATCATTAAATCCCATTAAACATGAAGTGTGAAGTGTTTTATTAATTTGCTTTGTGTGTTTTTAAGAGGGCTTGGCTAATCAGGCCCGTAAAATACAATTAACTTTCACTCTCCATTTTTCTAACCTAAACTATAAAAGTGACCTGAGATCAGTTAAAACTCTATATTAGCTGCTGGTTCGTGAGTTTACCAGTTTAACGCCACCTAGTGGTGAAACAAATGTTTCTAAACAGTATGAAGTGGCCATGCATTGTTTTGAAGCAATCAAATGCCAGTTTGACATGTGCTCTGATCCATTGATTCAAAGTTTCAAACAAATGATTGGTAAAAGTTTTAAAACTGCATGAAGCAGTGTTACATATAAGAGCTGTAGACTCACCTGTGTCAGAGTCCCGACATGTCTTGATCACGCTCCCTTACTTTCCCATCTTTGCTCTGCTGTCCTATAAATAAAAAAAAACATTAAAAAGTAGTTAAAATACAGTCGAAATTATTTCATACGAATAAACAAAAAATAATGCTAGAAACGATTTGGTGAATCATATTTATAAACCTGCAAAAATTGTCAGCTTGGAAAAAAAGATGCAAAAAAATGAAAACGTCTAAGAAATGTCTAGACAAAAATCATTTACCTTTCTTAATAAAAATTCACACATCACCCAAAAACAAGCCATGCCTCATCACACTTCTGTGGTGCAGAGGATAATCATTTGCCTTCAAACATGACAGTCTTTGTTCAAATCCCATCAGCTGACTTTTTCCTTCAAATAAAGCAAAACTCTCAATAAAAACCCATCCATAACAGCCTTCAACTCAACAGACTCAGTGGCTCAGTTGATAAAGCGTTGGGCTTTAATCAATGAGATTTGAGTTCAAGTCTCACTCTTGCTTGCGTTAAATTGTTGTCATTATTTCAAACAAAGTGGCCAAAACACCAGCTCTCAGTGTGAAAGCCACAGTGGTGCAGTGGCTAAACACACGTTCTGTGAAGGCAACGATGCGCTGAAGTTAAGGTTCAAATCCCACCTTGTCCCCACAATTTAAATAAAGTTGTTATATCAAACAAAGTGGCCAAAACACCAGATCTCAGTGTGAAAGCCGCAGTGGCTAAACACACGCTGACGGGTTGCACTGGAGTTCACGTGGGTTCGATCCCCACCTCAGCATGATTTATTGTAAAATCACAGGGCTCCAAAAGTGAAATATAAGTTCCAGCACATGTCTCAGCAAGAGATCTGTGGCTCACAGGTAAGAGCGCTGCCTCCTGGGTTCAGAGGTTGCTGGTTCAATCCCAGCCGGATCTCCACGATACGAGTGAATGCTGTATGTGTGAAGGGGATGGGGACGCGTCGGGTCCCCCCCCGAACCCCACCACGATGTCCAGCAGGGGTTATGCTTCTTGATGCAATCAAAAAGAAAAATTTAGCAGACTCAAAATTTGGCCTCGCCGTCCCTTCCCCACCTATTTAGGTTCCCATCATTTGCTTTTTAAAGGGGTGACCCTCCAAACAGAAAATGATGGCAACCTACATGTTTAGTGCCAAACAACAACATTCACACGTTACAAGTCTTACCCGTCCGTCAGCAGAAGTCCATCATTACAGTCAATGTCTGTCCACACGTCCCACAGCTCTGCTTCTGATGACTGGACGCTCCAAACACACCCTGTATTCTGTAGAGGAAACATACACACAAACATTACTTCATACAGTGTATCTAAAACATTCAAATTAAGTTAGTCTAAATAAATGTAAACTGACTACAAAAAAAAAACAAGTCTTAAAGCTGTGTGAAAATATGTTGCAAAGTATATGAAAATGATTTCTTCTCAGTTTAAATTATGCTATTATTTAAATTACAGTTTTACAGGCTAAAAGGATACGAACACTGAATAGAAATAAAGCCTTCTTTCCACCCTTCAGTGTGAGCGCTGACGAGTGATGCTTAAACATGTAAACTGTAAAGAACTGCCGAAGTGGAGTTATAACTTAAGATGAAACCTTCCTTCACACAACAGTAATCCTAAAAGACATGTTCCTGCACAAGGATTGATCCTGACAGTTTTCATTAGAAGAAAAGCACTGCAGCTCTACAATACAATGAAGCAGCAGACACACACTTCACTCACACACACACACACTGATTCTATTAACACGCATCAATCCACTAGATTATTACATACAGTAAGACAACTAATAACAAAAGAGACTAAAACCACGATTCCTTATTATTATACTTCATTACACATAAATCAGAGGAAGATTCATCCGAAGCTTATATGTAACAAGAACTAACGATTCAGATTTGTTAATCTAAAGATCTGACAATGAGTTCAACAAGAGTGGAGGTTGTAAACAAAGTAATCTCATGATGCTATTAATCACTGTCTTACAGGCCACACCATTATGAAAACACTGAACACACAGAACTAAAAACTAACTCCCCATTCAAAGAAAGCCAGACCTACAAAACATCAGAACAATATTAGAAATGCTATGCAAAGAAAACCAATTGCAAAGTGTCTAGCCACTGCTCTTTAATTTTATTGTTTCATGCTTGTAGTAATATTATGACATTTTAATTAAAATACCATTTTAAAGGCAGTGTTTTACTCTCAGATCCCAGTCATAACAGGAAGTAGAAGAAAAGCATGAAGCAACAGGAGAACATCAGAGCTTCACACAAGACACAACTCCTGCTGACTCTAACATACTTCCAGAAAACACTGCAATATATCAACTGAGTCCTTCTTACTACACTTTATAGTGTGAATATTAGAGGGCGATTCATTCAAAGATTAAAAAGGTAACGCTACAACAACTAGAGATTGACAAGAGAAATTGACTTCATGCTGAAAGTTACTCACAGGTCAGTCTTGTGGCATACTCGGTTCCCTCATTTATGTGTCGTTTTTGCGTCTGTGTGTCGGTTTTATTTGCAGTTGAGCTGTAATATGCGCTGTTAAAGTGACATTAAGAGCTGTCATCTTCTCATCTGCAGGATCTGCACGCGTTGTTGTGATTGTCATCAAGCGTCATGTTGTCAAGCAGCCGAAGCGTCAGACTGGAGGAGAAACCCGCTTCTGCCGCCTTGAGGAGCGGAGGAAGAACTGCACTTTACTCTCGCCGGATTATAGTGGCGAGATCACATCTGAGACTTTGGATCATGAAGCAGCAACATGTTTAAATCCCACATATGCATTAGCCATCTTTTACAAGCTCTGTGGCGCAGAAAATAACGGTTTGCCTTTGAATGAGAAAGCCTAGTCTTTTGTGTGAGTTATATGTATTTTAACAGAATGACAGAGAGGACAGAAGAAAAATCCAATTTATGTTCATTAGACTCGATTTGCGACGGTGTAATTCACACAAATCACCACAGGAGGGCGAAACACTTTTATGTTTATTAGACTGATTGATACAGTTGATACAAAGGATAACTTAAATAATAATACATTTATTATAGCGTTTATTTAGAGAATATATCAGTTTGCCAATTTTAATGTCAAATAGTAATTCACACATGACTCATAGAAATAAAAAAACATTTCTATAAGAATAGATCTGGTAATAGATCACAATTGAATAATAAATCTGAAGAAATACTTTGCAAGATTTATTGTGTGTTTATTTCTGGACTGAGTACTAGTCAATGAATTATCAATCAATGATGATCATCTTTTACCCGGCTTAAACATACGCTAAGAACTTTAAACTTTAAATCTAAAACAACATCATTGACTCACAGTCTCTGTGGCTCAGTGGATAGTCGTCTCCCTTACCAACCAGAAAGTCCTGGTTCAAGTCCCACGTTTGTTAAAGTTATTCATCATTTAACACAAAGCTCTTGATCAAACCAGTGCAAATCACTCATCATCTCAGCAGTCTCGGTGGCTCAGGAGAGAAAGAGTTGTGTTTCAATCACAGTGTCCTGAGTTCAAATCCCACTATTGCTGACTTTCAATAGTTCTCATTAGACAAGCTGTCCTGAAAACCAGTTATTGTCACAAAATCCATGATGGGCGAGTGGATAAACACACACTTTAACTGCTTTATTGGAAACTCTCAGGATAACAGTGAAATACAAGTTCCTTCACATGAACAGACAAGAGATCTGTGGCTCACGGGTAAGAGTGCTGCCTCACGGGTTCAGAGGTTGCTGGTTCAATCCCAGCCGGGTCTCTGCGATAGGAGTGTATGTGGTGTGAGTGGCGCGCCCAAAGGAGGGGGATACCAAAGCGGTCTCCCCCCGGAGCTTCCGGCACAGTCAGCAGCAGGGGTTATGCTTTTTGGAAAACAAAGAGGAACATTTTTTATGATTTCTTCTCAGTTTAAATTATGCTATTATTTAAATTACAGTTTTACAGGCTAAATGGATACGAACACTGAATAGAAATAAAGCCTTCTTTCCACCCTTCAGTGTGAGCGCTGACGACTGATTTAAGCAAACATGTAAACTGTAAAGAACTGCCCGAGTGGAGTTATAACTTTAAGATGAAACCTTCCTTCAAACAACAGTAATCCTAAAAGACATGTTCCAAAAAAATTTAGTTTCTAAACCTTCCCCACCCATTTAGGTTCCCATAATTTGCTTTTCAAAGGGGAGGCCCTTCAAAAAGAAAGTGATGGGAACACATGTTTTGTTTAGCACAGTAAAACACATAATCACACATCATATACATTACCTGTCCATGAGCAGAAGTCCATCATTACAGTCAATGTCTGTCACACAACTCAGAGCTCTGCTTCTGTTGACTGGATGTAATGGTCCAAACACATTCCTTCTGTAAGGAAAAAAAAAAAAAATTAAATACTCTATATTCTACATCTATAAATGAGAATGTGAAAGTTAGTCTAAAGACTAGTTAATAGAAGGAAATGGAATCAATTTAAAGCCTAAAGCTGTACAGTGTGAAAATATATTGCTATTATAATATAGTATACTTCAGTAAGGCTGTATCAATAATAAACTTTTAATTCAATTCAAATTACTTTCTTTCAAAATACACAAGAGTAATTGAAGACAAAAATTGTATTGCTTAATGTTATTTTCAGTATTATATTTCTTTATTAATGTTCATAATAATTTGTATATTATATTTTGGGAAATCAGAGTGTGTTTGTACATGTTTGCTGAGGAGAGATTTGGGATGAGCTATATTTTGCATATAAGTATGTGTGCAATGACATGTAACACAAAAATAAATAAGAGATCTCTTGATAAAATAACTGGTGTAGCTTCCGTGATTCAACCATAATTGGGACAAGCTTAAGTTTTAAATCTACAGTAATCCTAAAAGGCTGGTTTCCTGCAAACGGGTTTAACCCTGTTCTGTTCTGTTCTGGACTGTATATATGATGGTTTAAACTTTTCATAAGAAGTAAAATCACTGCAGCTCTACAAAAGCATGAAGCAGCAGAAACATCAGCAACATCAATCCAGTATATTACCTACAGTAAGACTACAACAACAACACACACAAAAAACAGCATTCCTTATTATTCTGTTTATAAATGTAAAGCAACACCTACAGATTAATTTCCTCTTCTGGAGGTCTGAGTGTGTGTTTAGAAAAATAAGAGCAACAAAGTCTGTTAAACTTTTGATAGAAGACGCGAATGCTTTAATTTAATAACAAGCTTAAACAACATTTAGTTTACAATCAGACACCATGAAAATTACACTGACGAGCCCTGCTATGATGAGATTTCAGCAGAACGATGCATCAGTAAAAACCATACTGTCTATGGTAAAAATATAATTATACAAAACATTAAGCGTCGCGATATGATTTTACTAGAGAAATTCCCTTTAAGTGCAAAGTTACTTACCGCGGAGTTAAATGACACTCGATTCCCGCCTTTTATCGGACTGTATGTCGGTTTATTTGCTGAAATATGTCCAGTTGTGTGATATTAATTATCTGTCATCTGCACATGTTGTAGCGTCTGTCATCAAGCGTCAATGTTGCCAAGGATCCAAAGGAGTCGCTCTGACAGTGAAGCCCGCTCACGCCGCCTAGTGGAGCGGATGAAAACTGCGCTTCGGTTTCTGTCATTCTGCTAAATAAATAAACATGCAACATGACATCATGACTTTGCGTTTCGCCCTCCTGTGGTGATTTGTGTGAATAACACCGTTGCAAATCGAGTCTAATGAGTAATAAACATAAAAGTGTTTTGCCCTCCTGTGGTGATTTGTGTGAATTACACCGCTGCAAATCGAGTCCAACAAATATTAAAAGTTCTGCTGTTGTTGTGTGTGTGAACCCATGTCTTCATTGCAGTATTATCTGCAGTTAATGTGTGCTTAACCATTGCACCATCATGGCTTTCACAATTTTGAAGTTATTTGGAACATCTTGTTGGATGTACAATTTAATGTATGTAAAAGGGGGTTTGAACTCGTGACTCCAAGATTAAAACACAATGCTTTATCTCCTGAGCCACTGAGCCTGAGATACTGATGGGTTTTGTTGGACTAACCTTTATTGAGGGCTTTGTTTTCTATAATGAAAATGATAGTAATAGCAGGATTTGAACCAAGAACTCAATGCAGGCTATGAAAGGCAACACTTTGCCGCTTGAGCTACTGAGTCTGATGGTGTTTTGAAGTGTTTTATTGAGACCTTTGTTTTTGTAAGATGGAAAACAGGATTTGTAGGATTTGTACCAAGACTTTCACACACATTAGGCAAATGACCAACAACTGAGCCACAGACTTTATGATGTTTGCATTATTTTAGTTACGGGTTAGTTAGATTGTCTGTTGATTTACTGGATTAACACAATATAAGCAATAGTTGGCTGTGAAATCAGAACTGCAATATTTGAGCTAAAAAAAAGTTTAATTGACAACTTTGTTTTATTTGCACACTCTAAAGTCTTCCAGTCATTTCCTTGTGTTTTTCATATAGGCCTATATGATTTTAATGTTAGGATGATTTTAAAAATGTCTGCACAGGATTGAATCTGCATCATTTGAGTTACATGTACAAAATGTTTTGTTACGCTTATGTGGGAAAAAATATTCCAAAGCATTTAAGGCCCGGCTCGATCGGCCCGAATTCTGTCATCCGATCAGCGGGTGAAGCTCTCTGCGTGTTACGATCTTTTCTCGTGGCAAAGTATTTTTGATTAAATGCAATACATTTTTCATATGTATTCTCTCGTTATTTCATCTGATCAGGTTTTTAATGATATCTGTGCATCCTTAAATATAAGCAAAAGTTTGACTAATTCCTTTTAACTCTAATGAAATAATATCAAAGTCAGTTAGAATCATCAAATGTAACAATTTATTATGGCAGGTAAATTTATCATCAGTTCAAAGATAATCAATAAAAAAAACATCAAATGTTCTGGAATAAAGAGAAGACGAACCCGACATTAAGGAGGAGGAGGAGGAGGAGGAGGAGGAGGAGGAGGAGGAGGAGGAGGGTGTAGTGTGTGTGAAGTGCGAGTTGCGTCTCAGAAGTTCCTGTTACATAGAGATAGTTCAAGTGTTAATTCTTATGAGGGCCTTTTGTTTAATCGAGTGGTCGATCAGACATACTGGCACCAGCCTTACAATTTATTAATTTGTATCAAATGTACAAACAATCACAAAAATGCTCATTAAAAACTTTATTATCAAACTCAAACTGACAACACATGCATAACTTGCAAACAACATAATTTGTTTGGTTTTCTCATATAAATCGTCACATCTTATGCAAAACAAAACAGTCCAACACACCAGCCTGGAAGTTTTCTAGTGAACCTAAAGATCTTGATGAGCCGCTTCTGGTCCTGCTGTCTCCATATAATAATGCAGATACGCTTTTTGTCAAGTCAAGTCATCTTTATTTATATAGCGCTTTTTACAATACAGATTGTATCAAATCAGCTTCACCGTGATAACACTGCTTCATAGTCCACCTGAAGTAAGGCAGATCAATAATATTGTTGAATATGAAATGGCCCCAACTAAGCAAGCCAAAAGCCAAGGCAACAGTGGCAATGAACCAAAACTCCATCAGTGACAGAATGGAGAAAAAACCTTGGGAGAACCCAGGCTCAGTCGCTCAGTTCTCCTCTGGCCAACGAACCAACAGTGTATGATTATGATTCACGCAGGTCAGAAGTCAAATTGGATCAGATCATCAGAACATTCACAATATTATCCAGTTCCATCTGGTTTGAGGTCGGAGTCATCACGCCGGTATGGAGACGAGTTTGTAGAGGTGTCCATGAGGCCTTCACGGGGCTGATGAGGCTGGCACTTCAGGACTGCGGTGTGGTCGTGTCCAGGCGCAGGTTCACCGTCTGATCTGGATACGGCCCGGATCCGGCTGACTTTAGTAAACCTCGGAATAAATGGAAAGATTAACATCCCACTCTTCTTAAGATGTAACGAGTACATCGGGTGTTTTGGGAAGTGTCCCTGGTTCCGCCTGACCTAATCTATGCAGCCTAATAATCATTTAACTGATTTGAATAATAGAAATGTATGATGTATAATTTGTCCTCAAGAAGAAGCAGATTAAACACACTCATCTAGTCTCATGTGCCCGTCATCCACCCATCCCTTCTCCAAAGCGCTTGTCCTGTGTGTGTATCCTATGGAGGGATGTTTAATATTATACGTCACCTGGCGTTACAAAACAACCCCTTCAGTGGACCAAAATAACTACCATTTAAGAGCGCTAAAATGGTAGTTATTGTTTGAATTTCATAATAAGATTGACAGAATTTGGAGACTGTTTCATATCATATAAACCTGCGATTTTTCACTGCGTGTTAAAATGGACGTGGCGTGAGATCGTGTCAGTGTCAACTGCGTGAATCTCATGTTGACTGCGTGAAAGTTTTCAGCCCTGCAAGTTGTTATCTTCTGAGATGTGTCTGAAGCCCGATGTCTTTTGCTTCATATTTAGCTCCATTATGATTGCTGTTGATGAGGAGTTTATGTTAAGATAGGCTAAATAAAATAATTATTCAAACTTATTTTATGTTTAAGGTTATACAGTCATAAAAAATGATTAAGCTGGTCATTTTCCCTTTTTGCTTTTCTGCGCCCCAGAACACTTCCCACATCTATTCATTTCGGTCATGGGACAGACTGTTGGAGGGTGAGCAGTTGATATTGATATAATAAAATCAAAAAGATGCTTGCGTTAAGCGCGAAAACAACAGCAGAATTAAAATTTTCAGATGAACTAACGGTCCTAACCATTTACAGTTTGGGAATAGTCAGTCTGACAAGCTTACTTGCGTACTTACCCTACTTGAACTGTGAATGATCATCTGAAGCGCACGCGCTGAACGGGACTCCTCAAAGTAAAAGTGCAAACATCATTTAAATCAACATATCACATTTAGTTTAAGTAGTATTCAAAGTGTTTAAGATGGTTTATTCTTGTATGTATAGCGGGAGAGTATGTGTGCGCGACTTGAGATCCAACGAATGCCTGCATTGAAAGAGCGAGTATTGGAGACCGGGGATGGTAACTTGAAGTTGTAACATTTTTGACATTTCTGTCTGTATCTTGGAGTTCTTTTAAGTCAGTGTGTTCAAATGTAATTCAAACTAGTTACAAGTGTCAGCTATTAAATGACACCACTGTTATGTTTGCAGAAAAAAAAGAAAATGCGTGATTTCGTTTTAAACATAACTGCATTTGACAGATAGGGCTTAGAGCCAGCCAGCCAGGATTAGGCCTGAGTTCAATTAGAATATGTTAGTAGCTTTTATAAACGGGCCTTAGAAAATAAACGTGAAAGAGGAATCCGGTGCGGCTCTGTGTGTGCACAGATAACATCTCGCGAGTACTGAACTGAGCTCTCTTTCGCCTCTTCTTGCACTTGAATGGTTTTAAATCTTGAATGTGGTACATATGGTTCTAAGTAAATTTCCTATAGAATTCAAATGTTGCATTCGCAATTATCACTTTTTTCTCAAAATTATCTTGCAATTCTGACCTTTTTTTTTTTTTGCAACCAGTGGCGGCTCCAGGATTTTTTCTTAGAGAGGGAGAGGGAGTTTTTTCCTTACTAAGGAGGGTCTTAACAGTTCAGAGGGGGTGTTAAAACATTTTTATAAGTACATCAGTCACTTCAATATCCAGCATTTATTGTATTTTATTGATTTAATTTTCCATTTTACCTTATAACTTAACATTTACAAGACCTCATTGTAAAGTGCACATTGTTCTTAAGCCAATATCAATTTCGCTGAACATCTTTGTTTTTACCTATCAGTGAATCAATAACGGTTTCTTGAAACCTGCAGACTGACAGTCGGCCGGAACAGATAATAAAGGTTTTAAAACTGCTTTGAGTTAAATGAAAGAACACGTTTGTGCTTTTTTAAAAAGTAAACAAAATGGAAAAGAGCATAGTAAGAGGTAGCATTGTTTTGACCCTAATTACATGTTGACCGGGTTGGCCACCCAGGTTGTTGTGATCCTCAGACATCATAGATTTCATTTTTATATGACAACCTTTTACAGAAGCCCATGTCTGATTTCCTAAAAAACAGGTGTTTTGCCCCCTGGGTATTACTCATTTTTTATGAAAGTGAAACAGAGTAATTAACTTTTTATTGGAATTGAAAACAAGCTTCCATAAATGTTATCATCGGTGTCGGAATTACAGGAACAAACAAAATACAAAACAGCAGTATTTGCTGAAATCTGTTCTGCTTTCAGTTTCACTCAGTATCTTGGGTAAGAAAGAATCTGCAAGCTATTTAGTCCTGAATTTCCCATGTTTCTTAATACTATAATAGCCAACCTTAAAAAGTAAGAAACGCAAAGAAATGAAATGTAAATGTTTCCTTAACTGTAGGATTGCATTTTAAATGTGATTCAACACTTATTCCTGAATAATATTTAAGAATTATTAAGCATTTAGAAAGACTATTTCTACACTGGATCTCAAAAGACGTTTAAATTTTTTTACAAGACGTTTATATATTATAAGCTTCATACCGATTAGCAATTACTCAGGCTACAGATATTTAGTTCGGACTGAAAGGGGAAGTGGTAAAAACTCTAATAGAAGTATAGAAGTGTTGTTTTCACACACAGACCTCCCTCTATCCAGTGTTGAAGAGTCACAGTCGCTCTTTCACTCTTCTCTGGTAAGTCATTTACACACAACACACTAAAACTTCTGTCATATTGAGATTTTCAGTCTTTTGACACTCAGGATGTAAAAAAATGTTCAAAATGAAACTGTTTTTGATCATTCTAAAAAATAATTTATGATTTTCAGTCATTAAGAGTTTTGATTTAGTAGCCTGTATTTTTTCTCATGACATTTCTCTCACTCATGAAAAACAGTTTTTGGATTTAGAAATAATGTTTACACCAAAGTTTAAAAAGGAAATAACTGTTTTTAAGTTTATAAACTCTTAAAATTAAGGTTCCAAAAGGGGATTTTTTTCACATGTGATTCAAGAAGAACAATTTATGGAAACATTCAGTAAACACTTCTTAAAAGAACCATTTTTTCTGAATATGAAGAGCCTTTTTATAATCTAAAGAACATTGTTTTTTCACTATAAATAACCTTTAAAGATTACATAGATGTTAAAGGTTCTTCAAGGAACCATCAATGCCAATAGCCTTTATTTTAAGAGTGTATCCTATATGATTGTGTGTTTGTATTTTCTGTTGTAAGGTGAAGTGAATGATGGAAATATCTGTGACGTTCCTCCTCACTGGATGTCTGATACAAGGTTTCATTCTTATAGATTATTCCTCTGCTGAATTAATATTCTGAAAGCATTTTCATATGAATAATTGCTGCAGTTTATTCTGCATGTAAACTCTGTGTGATCAGTTCCTCTTGTCTGTGTGTTTTAGGAGTTTTTTGTGTTTTTAGTATCAGTCTGCCGGAGAGAGTAGAAGCTCTAAAAGGATCCTGTGTTTTCATACCCTGCACATTTGATATTGATCATGTAAAAGACCTCACTGATATTACAAAGAGAATATGGTATAAAGACGGAACGCCTCTCACTGTAGTGTTTGACTCAGATCACCCCAACGCTGGATCGTTAAAAGGAGAAATATTTGGCACTCCTACAGAGAAAAACTGCACCACCCGCTTCAATAATGTCCGTCAGAGTGATAATGGGTCATATTTCTTCAGACTTGAAAGCGATACATTGCAATATAGCTACAGGAAACCTACATTCACCCAAGTTGAAATTGCTGTCATAGGTGAGTGTCATATTGTTCATGCTGCTTCTATCTTAATATAAATGTGATGCGGCCATTTGTAAGGTGAAAGTGTGAAGCTTCTGGTGTCATTCACTTCCAGTTACTTACCTGTACAAAACAGTCCGGCGTTATGATGCTTTATATTGCAAACTGATAATTATCATATTCTTTTAGTTTTTCATAATCATAAATGCGCTGATGTAACGCAAGTAGTTTTACCGTTTACTGCACTTTGTTATTCTCCTAGTTTTTTAGTAATATACCTTATGTAGCCCCGGCCCTTTTCAGCTCTGTGCTCGATGTGTTCTGTCTTCTGGTTTGTATTTCCACACCATGCAAGATCTTATGGATTTATGAATGAACCGCTCGTTTTAAAATCTTCCTGGGCTAAAAGGTTTTTTTGTGACATTACAAACATAACAATGCTCATGACAACTTTTATTAACTCTACAATAAGTAAATCCACTTCACCAGCTACTCTTCAACAGAATAAGAGCTACTACAAAAACAGAAGTTCAAACACAAACTTCTAAAGACGGCTGTGCACTTCATTCTCCAGCGCATAATATCTATAGCGGCTAATGAATCAGAAGTCTCGCACATTCACATAAATAGCTCAATTCCCCAATAAAAAATAATTCAACTACACAATATGTGCCTTCATTATTGGATATGATCCTGTAATGTTTGACTATGTGTTGTAGGTTCTCCACCCAAACCCACAGTGAGTCTGTTAAAGGATCAGCAGGAGGTGACAGAGATGAAGAAGGTGACAGAGGTGAAGGAGGGAAGCTCTGTGAATCTGCGCTGCTCGACTAAGATCTTCTGTTCCTCTCGTCCAGCAAATCTCACATGGAGCTCGTCTCCTGAACACCTCCTCAACGAGAGCGTCACACAACAGCAGCGTCAGGAGCAAACTGAGCTGATCTCTGATCTGATCTTCACTGTAACTCACCGTCATCATTTAGCCACTTTCACCTGCACTGTAACACACCAGCTTCAGCAGCAGATCACAAAAAACAAGTCCCGTACGCTACATGTTCAGTGTAAGACAGGGATTCTTTCAATCAATACTGTCTGATCATCTAGAATTAGTGCTGTAAATCATAATATAATTGCCTGAACGTTTTTCTCCTCCATTAGACGCTCCTAAAAACACATCTGCGCATGTAAATGCATCTGGCTTTGTTCTGGAGGGCCGTTCAGTGACTCTGAGCTGCAGCAGTGATGCAAACCCACCGGTGCTCAACTACACCTGGTACAGAGACACTGAAGAACCACTGAAACCAGTGGAGAGCGGACAGAACCTGACCATCAGCAACACCAACCTGACACACAGCGGACGATACGTCTGTACAGCTCAGAACGAACACGGCACTCAGAGCGCATCAGTGATGCTGGACGTCCAGTGTGAGTATCAAGAGTCTCTTCTAATTTACACACAGTCATTAGTACATTACATAAGACATTAGATTTTAGACTTATACACGTATACTAGATATAAAATATTGCATATCATTTATTTTATATGCAGAGAGAGAGATAGAGAGGAATAGTGTAAATAAATACACAAAATATAAATTATTTGAATTATTTTATATATATTTTTAAATACCTTTTACTTTAAATATTTGAAAGTAAAGATACAGTGAAGCTTTTATCACAGTTTTTTACATACATTATAATGTAAAAGTCAACAATAAAAGTATTTAATGCATAAAATACCATATTAAGTATATATATATATATATATATATATATACACACACACACACATATTAATATTAAACATAATATATAAAGCCTTCACTGTTACTTACTTTAATTCCAAATATTTAAGGTCAGTAGTTTTGCACAGAGTAGCATTACCAACCGTTACTATGAATGATCTTCACTTAAACAGTTTTTTCAACCTTTACTATAGGCTTGTAAATGTACAGTGAACGACAAGAACTAAATGCAAATATAATAAACATGACTTTGTAGTCCTTTAACCTGCTGACAGCCTAACCCTAACCCTTTTTACATGGATGAGAAAATGTGTACGATTTAAAAAGCATTTTTATTTTTCACTAACTACTTCCCATACTTACATTAGTGTTATTTCATTGCAATAATGACTTTACAATTATTATTATTATTTAAATTGATGGCCTAAATTCTTTTCTCCTCCATTAGACGCTCCTAAAAACACATCTGTGCATGTAAATGCATCTGGCTTTGTTCTGGAGGGCCGTTCAGTGACTCTGAGCTGCAGCAGTGATGCAAACCCACCGGTGCTCATCTACACCTGGTACAGAGACACTGAAGAACCACTGAAACCAGTGCAGAGCGGACAGAACCTGACCATCAGCAACACCGACCCGACACACAGCGGACGATACGTCTGTACAGCTCAGAACGAACACGGCACTCAGAGCGCATCAGTGATGCTGGACGTCCAGTGTGAGTATCAAGAGTCTCTTACACAGTCATTAGTACATAAGACATTAGATTTTAGACTTATACACGTATACTAGATATAAAATATTGCATATCATTTATTTTATATGCAGAGAGAGAGATAGAGAGGAATAGTGTAAATAAATACACAAAATATAAATTATTTGAATTATTTTATATATATTTTTAAATACCTTTTACTTTAAATATTTGAAAGTAAAGATACAGTGAAGCTTTTATCACAGTTTTTTACATACATTATAATGTAAAAGTCAACAATAAAAGTATTTAATGCATAAAATACCATATTAAATATATATATATATATATATATATATATACACACACACACACATATTAATATTAAACATAATATATAAAGCCTTCACTGTTACTTACTTTAATTCCAAATATTTAAGGTCAGTAGTTTTGCACAGAGTAGCATTACCAACCGTTACTATGAATGATCTTCACTTAAACAGTTTTTTCAACCTTTACTATAGGCTTGTAAATGTACAGTGAACGACAAGAACTAAATGCAAATATAATAAACATGACTTTGTAGTCCTTTAACCTGCTGACAGCCTAACCCTAACCCTTTTTACATGGATGAGAAAATGTGTACGATTTAAAAAGCATTTTTATTTTTCACTAACTACTTCCCATACTTACATTAGTGTTATTTCATTGCAATAATGACTTTACAATTATTATTATTATTTAAATTGATGGCCTAAATTCTTTTCTCCTCCATTAGACGCTCCTAAAAACACATCTGTGCATGTAAATGCATCTGGCTTTGTTCTGGAGGGCCGTTCAGTGACTCTGAGCTGCAGCAGTGATGCAAACCCACCGGTGCTCATCTACACCTGGTACAGAGACACTGAAGAACCACTGAAACCAGTGGAGAGCGGACAGAACCTGACCATCAGCAACACCAACCTGACACACAGCGGACGATACGTCTGTACAGCTCAGAACGAACACGGCACTCAGAACGCATCAGTGATGCTGGACGTCCAGTGTGAGTATCAAGAGTCTCTTCTAATTTACACACAGTCATTACTATATTAGACTTCAGATTTAAAAGCTAAATAAATAAAAAGACAATTATATTAAATATTTCATACATTAAATAATTTTTATGTATATATTTTTAAATATATTTCAAATATTAAAGTCCCTGTAAAGGCAATTTAAAAAAAAAAATCTAAACACATTATAAATGTTAGAAATGTATTGCTAAAACATATTACAAAGACTGTGAACTGTGAAGTACTGAATTGTGGAGTTAGACCGTTAAACAGTTTTTCACCATTGCTATTTTCCGGATTTTTTGGGCGGGGCTAAAACGGGGCTCGATGACGCACTGGAGCCCCTGAGCTCCTGGACACGCCCCTACTTGATGACGCACTGAGGCTGGCCGCTCCCCTAACAATAGAGCACAATCACATCAGTTTTGCCACTCAATCGTGAGTTACGGTCAGTACTATTAGTTACTACAGCAGCCTACAGATTGCTAGCTAGCTATGCCTTCGTCATGGAAATGCGTAGGCCTACTACCTGGATGCGATCACCGGATCACATACAAAACAGATCGGTGTCCTTATTTAAATTTCAGAACAACGATTACATCAAGAAGAAGTGGATTAATTTTATGAAGAGCCAACCTTGATGGAGAGCTGAGGATCACCGCCGACACCCGCCTCTGTAAGTGATCATTTTACACGGGATAGTTTTATAAACTTTCGTCGGAGACAACTGAGACATTCACTGATAATCCGTTGTTACTGGTGAATGGGCCCGAACCGACTATCTTCCGCCTCGGCATTCATCCTCCCGTCGCGCAGACAACTGGTGCCATCATCGGCAGTGTGTGCCCACCGTGCGAGCATCTATTCCGGCTGTAGAGTTGAGTGTGGCGACGGCAGCTTTCCTGCGAGTGGGCGTGGTTTCAGCGCAGCCAGTGGACACGCCCCCAGCGTTTGAGAGCAGAGACTACTGCTCATTTTTTCAAGATTTTGATAGCTTATTTTATGTACTTTGGCAAATTTGGCAGGGTGGCTAATAACACATTTTTCTGTCGTGTGACAAACTCAGAACACATACAAAATTTTGACTTTACAGGGACTTTAACACATTTAAAACCCTTCACTTTTACTGCAAATACTTCCACTAGTGTTAATTCATTGTGTTTGCTATTATTTTACAAATGTGGAAGATAGTCATAATGCTATATACTGTGAAAGCCTGAATTCTGAAAGCTGGAAGTCCATTTGTGAATGCTTGGCAATCGCTATTATCAAAAAGTTACTCACATTCAAGAGGACTGAATTAGTTGATTTCTCATTACATACTCTCAATGCAAAAAAAAAAAAAAAGAACATTTTATTTTGATTAGGATTTATTGTGCAAACCCTAACATTATGATCCAAGTAATGAGGCCTGTCTGTAAATACTGACTTTTTTTATGTGAACATCACTGAACTGCAAGTTTCTGTTCAGTGTCAATGGGTTTTGATTTATTCCCAGATGTGCTTCAGTCTCTCACAGAGCAGCTGTTCTCAGTTGAGACTAATAGACTGTCCAGTCAACAATTGAAAAACAGTCCTATAACGTTTACTACAAATTTTCATCATATAGTCTGTGTTTGATTTGCTTTAGCACAGTAGCTAGTTTAAACCATTATAGCTAGCTAGTGTAAAGACAACGACGTAATGGGTGAAATACAGACACATGGTGTTTTGTCGGTTATTTTGTCTCGTGTTCGTCTAGATGTTTGCACACATGCTTCAACATATTGCCTACATCTAAAACTTGTAAAATAACCAGGTTTAAACATACAGTTTTTCAGTTACCAACCCAGATCTTGAACTGCTACACTACACTACACATCTTTTTTCAAAGAAAGTGAGTATAAAGAAATATTACAGCACTGTTATATTCACTCATTTAATCTAATCCCTTACAGCAAAAGCATAACATTGCATTGCATTTGGATGCAAAGTGCAATGTTTATGGTGAAAATATACATGTAATGGAGATTAAAAAGGTGATATTTACCATAAAAGCATGTGATGATACGGTTTTACGCAGTCACAATATGACGTTCAGCACTGAAAAGACACTATTGAAGAGTTGCAAAACACAATACCATGTTTAAATGACTTCAATTTGATGTATAGCTTAAGTTAAATACCATTTTATCATATAAACTACACTGCACAGCGTGCTATATGGTTTAATATCTTATATGAAGGCTTTACTGGCCATCGCAAACAAAAACGTGTGACAGGCTGACGGTGACCAACAATACAGTAAACTGCAGTTCAGTTGCATGCTAGAAATGCTGTGAAATGTGTGCAACACTGAAGAAAACACCCATGCAAAAAAAGTACATTTACAGAAAATGAATATGGAAAGACCGCAGGCGATTTGTTTCCCCTTTAGTAAAAGCTCATGTTACAGAGAAAAATGTTCAAGTTACGTTAGTGTTTTGAAATGCAAGGTTTCGATATGAAACCTTTGTGAAACTGTACTGAAGCCAATAAAATTGCAAGAAGTTGTCAACCGCCCTTTTTATAATTCTAATGCAATTTGATTAGGGTACGAGACAAAAGAATTTACTGGTAGCTGACATCTCAAATTCTCTAAAATTCCTTAAACATTTCAGTTGCAGTATGCTCAAGTAATGGGAAAATATGATAAGATGAGTAATATAAGACTTCACGGTACAGAACATGGAGGATAAAAAAAGTTCATTATACCAGTACAAACATTTGCACATCTCTAAAATTGTACTTCTGTTTAAGATGTGTAAAAAAAAAGAAAAAAAAGTGCAAGAGTCACACTTTACATACTATAGTAATACATGCAAATATTAAAGACTCAAAGCAGAGCACCATGTGAATTGCTTACATGTATTATAAGTGTACAGCTTGAATTAAAGGGATAGTTTACACAAAAATGTCATTTATTATTTGTCATCCAAAACCTGTATGACTTACTTTCTTTTTTGACAAAGATATTGTCTCAGTGTTTTTCTCTCTTTTTTTGTCTATACAATGGAAGTCAATGGGGTCCAATGTTGTTTGGTTCCCAACATTCTTCAAAATATCTATTTTTGTGTTACACACATTAAAGAAAGTCATACAGGTTTGATGTGTAAGTGACAGAATGTTAATTTTTGACACTTTTTACAATTGAATACTACTTGGTAAAGCCCTATTCACACTGTCCACTTCACGAATGTGCAAAGGCGACATGATAACATTAATTTCAATAGGGAGTTGCCGATTTCCAGCAACAAGAGCGACAGAGACCGTTGGCAACAGGAAGCAGGCATTTAGGAAGTAGGCATTAAAAATCGTCTCAATTCATCCAGAATCATGCAGCTCTAGCGTGTCCAGCGACGCGACAAAGTTGAGATTTGTTTAACTTTATGAAAATGAAAAGCGACTTTTGGGAGTGACAACCAGCAGAGCAGCGCCATGACAGATATGAAAGCGATTGAAGTCAGTGAGCTCAAGTGATACAAGATTAAATCCTGTAGTGTATTGTCTGTGGCAAGATGGAGAAGTTATAGTTTTAGCAGTCAGCAACTTCCCTAATTTAGCATTTGTCTCTGTGTATATATGGTGGTTCTCGCTGTGCGGACTCTGAGCCTGAACAAAATGAACGTCCTCAGATAAATGACCACAATAGCAAAGAGAACTCGCTATTTCATTTATCTTTAAAGTAAGCATTTTATGCACTGATTCCATTTATATTTAATCTTTTCGCTCCAAAATGTCTGTTTTTAGCAGCAAAAAAAATTATTTGCTGTCTACAACATAGAATAACATCCGTTAAATTCTCACAAACGTTCCTAGGCGTCCATTCAGTGGATGAATGAATGACTCATTTATATAGCGCTTTCATATGTAATACTGTACACCTAAAGCGCTTTACAATCATGTCGGGGTCTCTCCTCAACCACCACCAGAGTAGGCATTAGTGGAAAGCTAGGGACCTCACCGCCAGCCAAGCCTCTGGCAGAGTAAATGCAGCTTAAAAGAGTTTGTCTGCACAATAATGGCACTTTCACCACAGTGGCGTGTTGCAGACTTAAAGGAACAAACAGTAACCGCAACTTCGAAATCGTGTCTTGTTTCTCTTTTCTACTTCAGTACACTACAAGCTCTCAGTTATGGGGGTTTTCTTCTGTTCTTGTCATGATCTTATTCATTTTTGTACACAGTAAGGCTTTTCACAATGCACTTAACCCCGGGTTATCATCGTTTTAAACAGGTCACCGTGATTTTGCCAAGTAAGACATGGTCCTGGATCAACATATTTTGTTGATCCTGGATCAACATTCCTGTCCCAAAATGTAGTCCTTGCCCAATCCCTACCCCTATAAACCTAACCCTACCCATAACTTTTCCCTAAAATCAGAGGGTAATGAAAGGTGAATGACACTGATGTTTAAGTACTTCACCCTGGTTCTAAGCCTAAACTTAACATAAACTGTAAACTTGTCCCTCAAATCTGATTGGTTGATTGGAAAGTTGTTCCAGGATCAACAAAGATGTTGATCCAGGAACATGTGGTACTTGGTGAAATCACGTTCACCTTTTAAACACCACTTTTAACCCCAGGCAAAGGAACGTTTCACACTTGTAATTTAGAAGTGCCGTTAGCGCCGATTTTTACCCGGGGTTATGAAACCCTGCTCGGGAACAGGAGTAGCTCTGCTATACGCTGATTTCACACAGCCGGAAGTGCCGCCTTTAATCACAGGAGAGTCGCGAATGCGTTGGCGTATTGTTGTGTTTAATGTAGAAATGAGTTATTCTAAAAATGTACATACATTTCTTTCATACTTTAGACTATATACAGTGAAATTCAGTTATAAATAAAAAAATATATTTTTATACATAATTTAGAAAGTAAAAAAAGAAGCAGGAACAAGGTATATGCATATCCTATATTGGATATTAACATCCAGTAGTGTAAATCGCGGCAGCAGCTTCAGGTTGGTAGTCCAAGGCATTGTTTTTTATCTTTACTTCCGGGGTTCTTCCCAACGGAGCCTCGCTTTCGATTTCAAAATGGTGGCTGCGTGAAATCAGCGTATTGGTGTCAATCCCACATTGCGGTGCAACCAGTGCATTATGAAATGATGTATGTTAGGGTGTATTCACACCTGCCTTGTTTGGTTCGATTGAATCGAACTCTAGTTCGTTTCCCCCCTTGGTGCGGACCTTTTGGGCAGGTGTGAATACAGCAATCGAACTCGGGTGCGGACCAAACAACCGAACCGAGACCCAGCTGAAGAGGTGGTCTCGGTACGGTTCCAAACGAACTCTGGTACGGTTCGTTTACGGTGTGAACATGAACCGACCCAATTGCAAGAAAGCACTGCGCCTTTGAGTTAACAGGCATCCGTAGTCGGAGTTGCGTTACATCTACATTACATCTGTTGCGCGTCTTTCTGCGCATCGTGTGTGTGCATCATTGGAATGGAATGAATGAATGAGTGTGTGCATCAGGACATTCACATACAGAGCGTTCTCTTTAGTCTAATCGCGCATAAAAAAAACATTTGCAGTTCATATAATGTAACGATAGTTACAATACAAGGATTATGCCGCGTTAATTTACGTTAAGCCTTTTTTGCACTTCCTGATTTCCCAACTTGAGAATCCTTGTCCAATGAATGGACGACCTTAGCACACGTGTGGTTTTGTTTACAAATTTTGGTTCACTTACAAAAAGAGCAGTGTGAAAGCGAACCGTACCAAAAAAAACTAAAAACAATTTATTTGGTCCGGACCAAAGCAAGTGAACTATCGGACTTTCCTGGTGTGAATACACCCTTAGACTGTTACGGCTAGACGATTAGCAACCAACAGCCAATCGTGTGGCTCGTAAGCACATGCTTTGAACAGTCATGGGTGTTGTATAAAGGGATATTGTCAAATGGTGACAGAAAACGTGACAATTGTTGTGAAGAAGGGACCATATCATTCTTACCTTTATAGTCCGAAAAGCCAATTCAGAACAATTAGGGTTTAGGAATGTGTTTATAAATACTCAGGAATAAATGTTAACCCCAATGTAAAAACGTGAACCAAGAATTCTGTTAACCCGGTTTTTAGTGTGACCCAAAGTTAACTTTCCAGTGTGAAAAGCCTTAGTGAGATGTTCTTCTTAAGTGCTAGAAAAAAACAGGTCTTCAAGCCGTTTTATTTTGCTCAGATCCTACACAGAAACTACAGTTTATGATCTTATTCTCTCTTTCAGTTGCGCCCAAAATCTCCAGTTCTTGTAACAAAAGCAGCGTAATCACGTGTGTCTGTGAGGCTCATGGGAATCCCTCGCCTAAACTAGAGTGGCGTCTATATGGAAATGCTCTCGTTAACTTTACAAACACGTTCATCGAGAATGGAACTTTAGGAAGCACAAGCTTGAAGAGCGTCCTGATCATCCATCAGCATCTCACCGACACGGACGTCCTGCAGTGTTTCAGTGCAAACACTCTCGGCACCGCCAGCGCCAGCCAACGGTTTCATCCCATCGCACGGACGTCCGGGACAGAGACACGTGAGTTTCGCTTCTCTGACACGCACAACAACAGCTTTATCTGATCAACAAGAATGATCACAAATGAGATCTGGAGTATCTTAACCCTTCTGAAAAAGAAGTGCACTTAATTTGTATTGAATGTGTGCTTGTAGTGTACTTCAAATCTTAAAAAAGTAACACTCTTAGAAGAAAAGTTTCTGTAAGGTGCTTCATATATAGAATCTTTTAGGTATGATTTTATGGATTTAGTTGTCATTCATTTGTTTTGATTAATTTTTGTATTTTAATTACATTTTATTAATTAAATAGCTCGTAAACTTAATCAGTAGAAAAAACTGAAAGACCTGTTAAACATGAATGTATTTTCGCAATCATTTAAGACATTTCTCCTTAGAACCTTTTTGGTATAAAGTGATTTTATCATCAACTTATTTTGATGTGTTGACTAACGTATCAAAAGCACACCAAGTACTCGATTATAATTTCAATTGTAGTGTGTTATTTAATATTACATTTAAAGTTAATACCAGTATATTAAAATCAGCTTCATTACAAATCTGTAATTAAAAACATATTTAAATATGCATGACCTACAATTTCCGGTAACACTTTATTTTAAGGTGTCCGTGTTATAGTGTAATTATACATTTAAGTACTGAGTAATAATAATTAACTAGATGTACTTAGGATTAGGGTGTGGTTAGGGTTAGCTGCGTGTAATTATGCATAATTTATATTACTATAGTAAGTATATGTAACGTGTAACAAGGACAATGTAAAATAAAGTTACTCAAAATTCAATAGAAATGACATTAAAGTTTACTTTAACATACGGCTTATCGGTATTTGGCTGTACACTTTAACCATATTTTAAAGACAATAGAAGTAATTGAGAAATTACATAAAATATGTACTTTAGTCTTATACTTCAAAAAAAATAACTAAGTTTGGCTTATTGCATTTAATATAAATTTAAGCTATAATTATAAATAACAAGCAATTATGTGTCTGAAAACATTACCTTCAGTTCCCACTTAAAGGGTTAGTTCGCCCATTTAAGACATGAAGTTGTATGCAATCCTTACCAGCACTACAGTGCATACACACTGACCCACTCTGTTGTCACCTCCCTGGTCAGAGTTCTGGCCGCTGGAAGTTTTTCAATAAAGTACTCCCGGTTATTTTCCGGGGTCACAAAACTGTGCGTTTTTACGTGAAAAAATTATTTGCGTTTCAAAGCTTGATTAATTTACCACACAAAAAACACGCCGGTCAAAATTCATACCTCAGTTTTAATCGGCACTATTTTCTATCCATTTCTATCAATCCGCGCTGCTGTCGACGTCAACAGTGCGCACGTTCCGATCAGCTGTTGATAGCGCGACTCGCTGACAACATGTCTGACTACGAAACTTCTGATGATGAAACCAATTTTAGCACAATGTCAGACGGATCAGATGATGAAAGTAATTTTAGCACAACGACAATGTTATTGATTGCAACACAAAACCTCAATTGTGTGTGTGTTCAATCAAATAGTTTTCTCAGCAAATTGTACCAATATCCCTATATACTGTTTTTATATTAGAATATATATATTTTATATTCACGTGTTTTATAATGGAGTCTAAACATCAGCTTGTTTACCGTACAGTTTAGACATGGGATCATAAAGTTAGTAAATAGAGCTTACCCGTGGTACTGGTACAGCAAAACTCTTTAATTTTCCTTTTCCTCCTTGGTTGGGGATGTAATCGTCTTCGCTGAAGTGAGCACTACACACACGAAAATCCTTTATTCTGGATATTTTAGCTCCCGCAGAGTAGCCGATAGCAACCAGCCAAATCAACAACACGCGCTTGCACCCCCTGCTGGTGAGATCGACTAACAGCAGATGGAGATTATGCTCGGTAAGCTGTCTCATTGTTATATTCGAAACAGGAATACGATGGAATCTGAACTTTGATCGCGGCACATCCTTGTGGTCACAGCCTGGGAATTTACAAGTTCGCACCATTGTTAATTTAATACTTTTTACGTCGTTGTAAATCATTTGTGTAAACACTATGGAACAGCTGATCGGAACGTGCGCACTGTTGACGTTGACAGCAGCGCGGATTGATAGAAATGGATAGAAAATAGTGCCGATTAAAACTGAGGTACATGAATTTTGACCGGCGTGTTTTTTGTGTGGTAAATTAATCAAGCTTTGAAACGCAAATCATTTTTTCACCTAAAAACGCACAGTTTTGTGGCCCCGGAAAATAACCGGGAGTACTTTATTGAAAAACTTCCATCGGCCAGAACTCTGACCAGGGAGGTGACAACAGAGTGGGTCAGTGTGTATGCACTGTAGTGCTGGTAAGGATTGCATACAACTTCATGTCTTAAATGGGCGAACTAACCCTTTAAATATTAAATTTTTCTCTTACTTTTTTTTCGTATGCTGAAGTGTACTTCTTTTCCACATGGGAATTCTTCTCCTAGACAGCAATAAGATCACATGGAGGCCAAATGGAAACTTTTCTCCAGAGAAATGTTCTCACATTTGCCAAGACACTAAAGTCTGTAATCAAATATCAGAGATCTCAGTATGAACTCGAATCGAATCTATGATCAAATGATCTGAGGTGCTCTTCACATTCATTTTTATCCCTCCTGAGAAACATCTGAGACACTTAAATGACAGTGAGATTTCCATTAAGAGTCCTGAGCTATAAAAGACCAACCTCTGAGTAATAAAACACTGCTTTCCAGGTTTCCATCACCCGTCTGTGCTGCTCGGAGCTGCTGTCGGCGCATCAGCGATGATGATCTTGTGCATCATAGCAATCTACAATGAACGGTGGGTACATCAGACAAATGCCATTTGAGGAAAGACAAGAAAACATGATTATCAGAAAACTGGTCCAATATATAATGAGCTGAGGCTAAACTACAGATGTTCATATACATTACAGAGATTTTGGTCAGCTATTCTGGTATAGGCTAATGTACGTGTTCAAAAGTTTCACTGCAAAATATGCTTGTCTTGTTTTCCAGTACAAATATCTAAACGTTCTTAAATCAATATACTTCAGATATTAAGTCTTGTTTTCAGAAAAATCCCAATGGGTTCAGAGAGATACAGTTTTTAACCCCATTGGCAGATATTTGTTCTTGTTTTAAACAATCTTAATTTTGATAGATTTTTCAGAAAACAAGACTTTTGATTCTGATTGACATATTATATAAGAATCTATTTTTTGATGGCCTCAAAACATTTTTCAGAAGAAGGAATCCCAAACCTTCAGGAACCAGACAAGACGACACATCTGGACTCATACTGTCTCAAACAGTGAGTTAAACACACACACTCACACTATTCATTTTTAAAGACATCACAAACGGACATTCAGCTGATTCTGCCGTGTTTCTGCTCCATCAGGCCATGGTTTCCAGTGGTGACGAAGAGCATGATTACGGCAATAAAGACATGCTGTCAGCAGTTACACCAACAACACCAGAATCTCTTCATTATTCCTCGGTCGACTTCACGAATGCAGAGCCGGCGTCAGGAGAGATCTGGGGCGCCTCCTCGCTGACCGAGGAATATGCTGTGGTCCGTCATCATTCTGCTGGAGACGCTGCACCTGCGACCGACCTCAAGAAAGACCAAAGCCCACAAGATAGCAGCGAGAAGATCACGGACGTGTCATCGGAAGACACGATTTATGAAAACATGACCCGTAGCTTGGTTGTTTAAAGACAGAAAATGAACAGTTGCACTTTGTCCAAAATCGAATACTTCACTGCTATACAGTATGCGAAAAAGTAGAATACATACTGAATACATACTATTTAAATAACAGTAGGCGAAATGTACCCGGGATGACCTACTACTTCTGAACTTTATTATCGAAATGGGCTCTATGCACGGCGGTATTTCCGGTGAAGGTCTAAGGATGCTGGATTACTTCCGCCGATCGTAGAGTCCAATGCTATACCGAGAATTTATATTGGTTTTTATACTCTATTGCTATACTAAAGAAACGTTAGTCACAAAAACAGACAAAACAGACACCCCTCATTTTTTTTAATGCTTCTGTGTTTATTATATTAAATAAACATAACTATATATAAAATTACATCTAAACGTATTAAAGTTTCGTTTCAAAGACGAGAGGACAGTACATTTTGAAGACTCTGCCATAATCCCGTTTTCCTCGGTTTTCCTCCGCTTTAAATCTCCCCAACCGGAAACGCACGAGCATCCTTGCGTCAAACGCGGAAGTTATGCGTGCATATAGCCCATTAGGCCCCGGGAAAGGAGTTGTGAATGGCAGTGAAGCGACGCAACTGACGCTGTAGGTCACATGACCGTGACAACAGGTCACGTGATAGTACCAACTCGGACAGTATGCATCGTTGGTCAGTGCAGATGTTTAGACCAATAACTATAACGAAAACCACAAAGATACGAAGATAAACGACTTTTAAAAATTGTTCTAAAGGTGAAGGAACAGCACAAAAAATTATATTGTTGAAACTTTTTTTTGTCCAGCTGATTAATGATAAAAACATTGACAGCCAAATCAGAATCCATCCTGCTGTAAAGAGCTCGAGCATTTAACGCAGTAGACCGGACATATAAACAGAACGATATTCGTTGGTGTGACTGTGGACGATAATATTGTTATGATTTAATATTAATTGTTATGATTTTATAGTGATCGTTCTTGGTGTGAACAAGCCTTTAAAATGAACCAAAACCTTCAAATCTTTATCCATAACTCTTAAACACCACAGAGGGATTTTTAGAGCAATTTTTCACTAACAAATTACAGTTCTATCATTCCATGCCTTTAGGACTTTATTTCTCCTGTTGAACAAAAAAATAAAAACATAAAACATTTAATATTTTGAAAAAAATGTTCTAGGTTTTTTTTCTTCTCAGTGTTAATGGGGTCCAATGATGTTTTTGGTTGCCAATGTTCTTCAAAATATCTTCTTTTACAAACTGTCCATAGACTATAGAAATTAGCTACTTTATGGCAAATTACTTTAAATAATCAGTAACACTCAAAGTCCCCCTGTAGTCAATAATCGTATGCCTTAAAACTAATCTTTGATCATCAAAATAACATATTTAAACGTTATGTTCCTTAAAAATGCCTTAGAATTGTTTGAATATAACTCTTCACCCTTTACTCATTAATTATACGCGGTTTTATGAATATGCAAAATAGCCCCGCCTCCAATCACTCACAGAAGCTTAGAGATCCACGCATTGATAATGATGTGCATCATTTATAATAAAAGAGTATTACATATTTTTTTTTTAAACAAGAATTGTCTTTTTTATATTGTATAGGGTGACTTTAAAGTTCAAAATAACTCATATCGTTCTGAATGCTGTTGAACTCTGTCCTGATCTGCTGCCTCCAGACACAAGCTCACAAGCTTACACCTCACACACCCCAACAACTGGTTTGACAAGCCCAGTTTTCTAGAAAGTGCTTGCTGTGGTGAGACGTTTTGTTTAGAGGGATACTCCACTTTTTTGGAAATAGGCTCATTTTACAACTCCCCCAGAGTTAAACTGTTGAGTTTTACCTTTTTTGAAACCATTCAGCCGATCTCCGGTTCTGGCGGTACCACTTTTAGCATAGCTTAGCATACATCATTGAAGTGGACAAGACCATTAGCATTTCTAAAAAAAAAAAGACCAAAGAGTTTCGATATTTTTCCTTTTTAAAACTTGACTCTTCTGTAGTTACATCGTGCACTAAGACCGACGGAAAATGTAAAGTTGCGATTTTCTAGGCTGATATGGCTAGGAACTATACTCGCATTCCTGCGTAATAATCAAGAAACTTTACTGCCGTACCATGAGTGCAGCAGGCGTAATGATATGACGCAGCGCCTGAAAATAGGCTACCTTCCGTCAACACAACGGAACTATTTGCTCTCATGGTACGGCAGTAAAGTTTCTTGATTATTACGCAGGAATGCGAGTATAGTTCCTAGCCATATCAGCCTAGAAAATCGCAACTTTACATTTTCCGTCGGTCTTAGTGCACGATGTAACTACAGAAGAGTCAAGTTTTAAATAAGAAAAATATCGAAACTCTTTGGTAATTTTTTTTTTTAGAAATGCTAATGGTCTTGTCCACTTCAATGATGTATTAGCCTGGGAAAACCCAGACAACTTCCGGCAAATTTAGATTTGCTCTGAAAGTTAGTCTGGCAAAGAGCTCATTCAAGCTTATTTCCAATCCGTCGAAATCGAGGCACCAATCAGAAACGTTGCGGCGGGCTTTACACAATGACGACAGCGCTGGGATTTTGAAGCAGATTTTGTAGCCTACATTACAAAGATGGATGCCGCCGTCGAACATCACTCGTTCGAATCAGCTATCGCGTCTGTTTTAAGCGATTTAAACGTTTCCTTTTTGTTAAAAACCGAGCAAAGAACAACACTCGGACACTCATATGTCATCTCCTTCATCGCTCTGATTGGGTTTAGGTCTATCCGCGATGTCCGTTGGTGACGCCCCTCTGGAAATGATTTGACTATGACGCTTTGCCAGACCATTACTCACAACTGAGAATGGTCTGGTTTTAACCAGGCTAATGATGTATGCTAAGCTATGCTAAAAGTGGTACCGCCAGAACCGGAGATCGGCTGAATGGATTCAAAAACGGTCAAACTCATCAGTTTAACTCTGGGGGAGTTGTAAAATGAGCCTATTTCCAAAAAAAGTGGAGTATCCCTTTAAGATTTAGCTCACATCACAGCCTGGAAAAACCTCACAGACACTTTCAACATTAACCAATTCAAGCCACTTCCTTCACAACAAGTTCATGATTGGGATGGACAATGAAATTCATCCGTTTGCACAGCTGGAGACGCACAGGACATTCTCATACTAATCAAAGCATTTTAATTTACTGTACAGTGAATCAAAAATATTAGTATGTTTTTTTAATATATGTGCTAAACTTTAATTTGGTCAAAAGTATACAGAAAGATGAGCTCAAGAGCTACAGACTACAACCAACCAGCAAGTGTAACCATTAAGTTTAAGCTTCTTAACCCTTGTATTAAACATCTGGGCAAGATTATCAAATCATTATTATTTTTTAATTGTCTGTGCACCTGCCTTTAACCTTGAAATTTTCAGGCAAAAAAACTGACCCATAATATCATAATCATAATAGGAGTTTCATACAATACCTCAGGGTGTTGCAACTTGCTGGCATCTTTATAATCCTAAGAAATAGTCACACAATTTCAAGAAAAAACATGCTAGTATTTTCGACAACTCAAACATGTGTTGCAGCCTGTCAAATTAAATAGATAGCAACTGTCACATGCCAATTCTAAAAAAGCATCAACTCTTTAACACAATCTTATTTCATGTTTGTGTTGTTTCATGTAGGCAGGTGAAATAAAAACTCATAAACTGATCTGACTGAGATCTGTGTTTAAGTGTGATGAAGACATTCAGGACACACTTGCTCATTTCAGTTTATTTTCTCATAAACTCTTTGCAACAAACGGTCAAGCACACAATTTATCAAAGAATAGTTTTCCATTCAAAGACCTCGACCGTACTTGTTTGACAGCACAACATGGAGACAAATGTTGAGTAGCCTAGAGAAAGGTCTAATCCATGTCAGCAACTTCACTGCTGTGAACATCTCGTGTGTAAAAAGCAAACATGCACGTGTTACAAGGAAGGAAGAAAGAAACATTTTCAATAGGGGACTTTTTTTTTTCATTAAAAAACTTTTTCCCACTTTTTTTTATGTAATCCAGTTGATCAAACCCAATCCAGCTGAATCGCATCTGGACTTCACCACACAAGCGGCGCTGTAAAAACGTCGGCCATGTTTCTGTGGCAAAGCAGAAACGCTTGAGATTATAAAGATCACGTTGGCAGTAGAAGCTTCATTTGGAAACTCAGCTTGGCTCAAAATTAAGGGTTGCTATTATTAAGACACCAAGGTGTTCGATTCTAGTAGAAAAATGGCTGTGTATTTCACGTTTGGAATGATTTTAGTGTGCATGTGCTTCTCTACTGATAGGCTACCGAGGAGCTTAAATGTTTCTGACATGCAGGAGAATCCTCTAAAATAATCTCTCTATTATTAATAAGTGCTGAGGAAGACGTATGGGTGGTAAACATGAATACTGTGTTCGAAACATACAAAAGACCAGATGACTGAAGGCAGACACAATCTAAAAATACAATTTGGCAATAGACCACCAGAGGGCAGTCAGTGTAGAAAAACGAAAGCTCACGATGTCCTCAAATAGTGCTGTCAATTGATCATCATGAGGCCGTCTGAAAATGGAAAATTAGCCGTCAATTTTACCTCTGGCAGGGTTGTAGATTCATAAAACTGTATAAATACACACATTTGGTTCATCTTCAAAGCAAACGTAAATAAAAACGCTTCAGAAAATGAGCAACGGTTAAAAAGCAAAGGGTAACAGAACGTATCTAAGGAAGAAGCACAAGCTGCATAGACACCACAAGAACTTGAAAAGTCAATGATTTAAAAGCTCGTGAAGGATGTTCCCTCCTGAAATCTGACAATACGTCTGCAGGTCCTTAGATTCAGAGCACTTTAAATAGTGGTTAAACCAAATAAAACAACATTAAAACAGAGAGACTCGACACTTTTTTCTTCACTTTTTCGCTTTTCATGAAAAAAATATGGGAAGCCCTCAGTCATTTCCGGAAATAGATGTTCTAACCAGTCATTTGATTCACCCTCGCAAATATACATTTGTACATTTTTTGGTATGTATATAATCGGAAAAGGAATATACTTCGAATATTTACAGACCGATGAACCGCACTTATGCCCGTCTGCAGACAGAAATATCCTCGTTTAACGCTCACAAAAAGAGACTGACGTTAAACTCATTGTTTTCTGCTGTAAAAACAGAAAAAATAACAAACAAACCTGTCGAGAACATGTCGTAAAGTTAAGTAGGCTATATATATATATAATAATTAATATATTCATTATATACAATTTTATTTAAAATGTAATAATGGATGCATTAAAGTTGAGGGTAATTTGCTTAATTGTAATTAAAAATAAAGTTAAACAAATCCCTTTTTGGTTCCTAAATATAGGCTTAATTTTTCTTCATGAATAGATATTTTCTCCCTTTGATTTTGGGTGTTTATGTTAATACATAAACATAAACCACACATGTGAAGAAAAATGGGTTAAATATGCTTCAGATCTGTGGCCTTTCCCTCTGAATGCAGCAAACAAAACATCGGAAAAAAAGATAAAACCCGAACCAAAAACACAGGGAAAACGCTAGACTATGTTCCTGGCTTTAGTACCACACGGTACAAGAGTTTTCCGGCTTGATTAAATGGTATTAGACAGGACACAAACAAACCGTCAAAAGACAAAAAATGCTGAAAACAGCAAAGCTTTGAGCTCCATCAGTGACGAAGATCTTTAGTCCTGTGACGAAACACTGTCTTTAGTCGAGAAGGCTAAAATCATCAGAAGACACAAAGGCAGCTTCTCCGACAAGAATGTAAAGGAGAAACACTGTAAAATGTGGTTGCATATAAATGGTATTAAGAAGAGTCTTTATAAAAGAGGACACCTTTAAAAATAGCACTCGCATCAATCATGAAGGAGGGGTTCGGGCGAGCGGCCGTCCGGCGAGGAAAGCTAAAGAAACACCTGTGTGTGTGTGTGTGTGTGTGTGAATGGCTGAAGACGCCTGTCTGGAAGAGGAAGTGTTCGGAGGACGAGGACACACACTTCCTGTGCGCTCCGGTCATTGGGTCAGTGTGCTGGAAGCTCTGAAGTATGACAGGAACTTGAAGCACAAACTCACGACGAAGTACCAGATGTTCCTGGCCATCTGAGAGCGAGCAATGAAGACGCGCCAGATGAAGACGAGCAGAACGGTGTTGAACGTGTATCGGATGTTTCTCAGCCTGAGAACGGGAGGAAGAGAGTTAATAATTCAGCAATTTGAATAAATGAAACACACAACACACTATCTGACTATCAACTTGCAAACTGAACTCCTGTTTAATCAACCTTCCTCTTCTCTATTGACAGGATTCAGTGTTTTAGGAGTTTTAACAAAGCAAAAATATTATTAAAAAAATTATAAATTTGAATTATTAAATCAGTTTTCGTAATTTTAGTTCATCAAGTTAAACTAAGTAAAAATGAGAAATGTTACCTTGGCAAATAGCTAAAATGAAACAAGTTAAAGTTCTTTTAATATTTTATTTTATTTGAGCTAAAGTTTATTCAAAGTTGAACTATTTTTATGGTTTTAATTTTACTTTTAGTTATAATAACTGTATATGTTTTGGTTACACTATTTTAAGGTGACGTAGTTACATTGCACTTAAATAAGTACTGAGTGATATTACACACTTACTATTGAGTTACCGTTAGGGTTTGGTTTAGTTACTTGTAATTATGCATAATTTACTGTTATTACTATAGTAAGTACATGTAGTAACGTGTAACTGACCTTACATTAAATTGTTACCTATATTTTTACTGTAATACTATAAAAATACTATACATTAATGAGAATCACTAATCATAATCACAATCATAAATTAATGCAAAATTTTTTGCTTATTTGTGATGAAAATCATATCAAACACAATGCTTTTAAGAAATATTTTACGTTGCTAAAAATAAGCTTTATTTTCTTTAATTTATTTTCTTTATTTGTCTTTTGATGTAGGTTTTGTTCATGTTTAAACTGTTGTATATATATATATAGGTGGTGTGAGCTGTGATAAAAAGCTGTCGTATGACTTCTGAAGACTGAAGCACAGAAATGATTGGGTTATTTTGCAGGTGGACGTACTTTCTCAAGTGCTGTCTGGCGGCGGGAATGTCTGACATGTCCTCGTTCAGAACGTACTTCTTGGTGCCGATACAGTAATTATCGATGTACTCCGGCCAGTTTAGCTGGCGAACGTCAAAGTTGAAGGTCTGAAAGATCACAAGGATGAATTCAACACAGTATTTCCTCTCTAAATGTTAGTATTTTCATCTCATTGATCCTAAAGCTGTGTTTGTGTGTGTGTGTGTACCTTCCTGTCCTCAGCGCTCAGGTGACTCATCAGCATGTTCAGGTTGTCAGAGCTCCACTGCCAGTCCTGACTGCTGAAGTACTCCAGAAGACCGATGGCTTTGTGCAAACGGTTGAAAATACGCATCATTCTGAATGAAAACACACAGACACACTCAGCACCTCTCTGAACAACCAATGACAATTACTCTATTATCGTGTGTGTGTGTGTGTGTGTATGTATAAGTATAAATAATTATAGTTATAATTCTATTATAATAAATATAATTATATAAATATTATAATTTAGTACATATATATGTATACACACACACACTTATTTCAACATTAACAATACATGCTGTTTTATTTTGTATATTTTCAAATTTTTTCTTTGGGTATTTTATTTAGGGTTAGGGTTATATTAAGAAGCATAAATATATAGTATTATATAACAGTATAGTGATTAATAATAATAATATTTCTATTTCAATATTAACAATACATGCCTTTTTTCTATAGATATTTTATTTTCTAATAATATAATAAAGAAATTGTATTACTAAAACATTTTGTTTCTTTTTTCTATTTTTTATATTTCCTGTAGATATTTAATATGTATTTTTTAATTATGTATAATATGATATTTGTTATGTATTTATACAATATAATATAATATTGTATTAAATGCTGTTGATATTTAACAATATAAAAAAATATTTATATTTATAGTATAATAATTAATGATAATTCTATATCAATATTAACAATAAGTACCATTTTTTGAGCAGCAATTAATCATAGATATATGATTATGATCATAGACATATTAGAATGATTTCTGCAGGATCATGTGACACTGAAGACTGGAGTAATGATGCTTAAAAATTTAGCTTTGATCACAGGAATAAATGACATTTTACAATATATTCGCATAGAAAACTCGATACTTGCTCTTTTATCAGAACAGAAATGATGATGTAATTGTTCTCACTGTGGTTTCTGGCCAGACAGTCTGAGGAAGAGGTCATAGATGAGCGCTGGGAACTTGTGACTGACGAGGATCCAGTACTGGTAGATCAGATAGTTGGAGGTGATGTTGGCGTTGGGCCGACGGAAAGCCTGTTCTAGAGGATTCCTTTTGAACGAGGACATCACGAGATGCTCTGCAACGCAAATATGTGTTCAGTCATACTTACTGGAGCTTGAGTTATTATGTAATGTCTTAATGGCACTGCAGATATGATATTTTACTGCTGTCACATGGCAGCGTTCCACACTATGACTAAACCACTATGACGGAAGCATGAGATTAGTTACAATTGTCTGTATTTTAATCACGATCACGATTTTCTTCTCTAATAATTATGCATAATCAGCATTATCGTGCAGGCCTACGGCTGAGAAATGTTTACAGGAAGAGGAAGATCCTCACTGAATCTGCTTCTGCCTGTTGGCATGGGGATGTTGCCAGCCAGATGTTGCTCATGGTAACCGCACACTCTGCTGTTACCATGGCAATGCCAGACTCCAGCTGCTCTGCCCACCGGCATCGACATACAGTGGCTATGATCCGAATGATATATTATATGTGCTATCGTTTAAAGAAAGTAGTGCATTTGTCAAAATGTGACGTATACAACCAAAACACAGTGAGGAATACTGTATCCCACAATGCAATGTCCTCAACTTGACAGTGTGATATAATATAATACTTCTATTCCTTTGAGACATTTAAGTTTCATAAAATAATAATAATAATACACATAATAACATGCGCTTGTTCGAATTTAAATTTTTAAAAATTTAAATTCTATAGCTAATTTATTTCTATTATATAATCATGTAATATAATAATGTATTTTTTATTTTTTTATTTACATAATAATAAACATAATAATGTAAAACATGCTGTTTTATTTTTTTATTTTCATTTTTTTCTATAATATAACATAATATAATCGTATAATGTATTTTATCTATACATATTTTATTTCTAGAATAATAAAATAATAAACTAATTATTTATAATTTTTTCTATAGCTCATTTTTTTCTATGGATGTTTTATTTTTACTTCAATAAAATAATACACGCTACCTTTTAAAAGTTTGGGGTCAGTAAGAGATATTTTAAATCAGCAAGGATGCATTCAATTTATCAAAGTTACAAGGGTTACAATTGACGTGACGAATAAACATGGAACGTTGTCAAATATGATTTTTAAACTCCCCTTTAACTCTTTAGTTGATCATGCCAAAAATTAAAGACATTTGTACTCAGAGCTGGATTACAAAATAACTATTCATGCATTTGACTCGACCTTCCATTTGCAATGTAAATGAACCTGCAGTTATGTAATGACATGTTTACAGTGTATGTAGATTACAGTATATACAGTGCAGGTTAGAAAAGCATGTAACGCACCGATCTCTCCCCAGTGGAAGGGGTTAATGCCTCCTGTTGTGCAGTTGTACACAAGTGCAGTTTTCGGTCTGAAATGTAAAGATCAAAACAAGGAAGTCACATTGTGCTGCATGTGATATATTTCCCCCTAATGTAAATACATAAACGCAGAGGGATTATCCAAGCCAATATTCCACGTCTCTACCCGTTTAATCACCTGCAGGTCTAACATAAGCAAATGAAAGTGGTTTGGATAGGAAGCTGCAGGTGTACCTGTGCACCGCGGTGTACCAGCCAGCAGTCAGTGTCAGGTTTATAACCATGTCCACGGGAATCAGATCCGCCACAGCGTCATTACTGGCTCTCATGGTGCGCAGGATGCCCTTCCCAGCCTGCATCCAAACACAGAAAACACACGCTCGTTCAAAGAGGATGAAACTGGAGCCAGAAGCCCCATATGCCTTAATTTGTCAGTGAGGTCCACAGAGGCGTTTAGGAGGCTAATGAAATACAGGCTAATTAAAAAGAAGAGCAGATTGTTTTCATTGCTTAGGTCAACGAGTTATGTGAGGAGGTGAATTGTGCCAAAAGTGTCATGTTTTTGGATGTTAAAGTGGACCTGTTATGCCTTGATTTTGTTTTATGGCTCTACTATAACAGGTTTTCATGCTTTTTTTTCACATATTCTCCATTGTTGCAGCACCTCTGTTCCCAGTCTGTCAGTAACGCTCTGTTTAGTTCCTGAAGCCCCTCCTTCTGAAAAGCACACTGTGCTCTGATTGGTCGGCTGGATCAGTGTGTTGTGATTGGTCAAGCGCTTTGAGTGTGTTTGGGAAATGTCCCGCCCCTTCCCATAACCACCCGTTTCAACACACTACTAACTAACTCGACCAGGCCACGCCCCTTTAATCTGCGAATGAATTATTTAAATGAGGAATATTGTGACGTGTTCGTTCCTGGAAGAAAACTCAAGACTACAATGGAGGCGTTTCAGGGAGTTCAGAAACACTGACACTGATATAGAGAATAACTTTTTCAGGCTTTTAAACAGCAACATTACACACTAAAGAGAGTTGAACATGCAAAAAGACTCATGAACCACAAGCTGAAGTTGGACGTTTGTACAATTACACTTCAGGCCTTTTACATAATATAGACTATCATTCAGACGACAGAAGGCATGTAGATTGTGTGCAATGGGTTTATCTGCAAAGCTTTGACCATGTTGATCATTTAGAGGCCTTATTCACATATCAAATATGATACAGTTTCTGTACTGCTCTGTTCTACTGTAACATATAATGAAGCAGAAAATATGACAATACTTACAGCAATGAAAACACCACTTGCTCCATTAAAATTATCTATCCAACCCTGAGAAAAACAGAAAAAGAGGCAATTGTGAGTTTTATTTTTTATATTTCCTCTTATAAATTAAATTTGTTATAGTAATTTTGTTGTGTTTTTGTCATTTTAACTTGTTTTTTTTATATATATATAAATACGTCTATATGATTATGATTTTGTTTTTAGTTTTTGTTATTTTAGGACTTTACTAATTAAACGGAAAAGAGAAACATTGCTTTGGCAACTAGCTGAAAAAAATAAGTTTACATTTTTTTTAAAGTTCATTTTTAAAACCTATTATAGGGTTTGTTAATATTCTGAATTAGATTTATCATAATTTTTTGTTTTATATTAATTTTAGTTCGTTTTTAGTAATTTTGTTTCAAATGTATATACATTTTTGATTTAGTTTTAGTTATTTTAGTACTTACATTTTTCTTAAGAGTTTTATTTATATTTTCTGTTTTAATTTGAGTAAAAGTTTGGTAATTTTTTTTTTTTAAGTTTTTTAAATATGTCTATATAATTTGATTTTGCACTAAACAGAAATCAATATCTGAAATAAAATAAGTTTATATATACACACAAACATATACATATAATATACATATAAAAAATAAATGAAGTATATATATATTTATTTATTTTTTTCTCCAAGTAATTAACTTTTTTTTAACCCTGCCTCAAAAGTCTTTATGATATTCTGCTATGTAGAAATGCCTATGTTTTATGCATTCATTACCTACAACCTCTGAGTTACCAGCCCAGATCTTTAACCATTAAGCCACATCGCTCAGAAAAGTCCCAGAGCTCTCAAAGTTGTAAACTATTCCGGTGTAGCGTCTGACAGCAGATCCATCACTCACGGGGAAGGGCTCCTGCCAGCTGGCTCCGACGATGGAGGGTCGTATGATGCCGATGTGGAGTTTGCCGCTCTCCTGCTGGACCACACTCTCCGCCAGCGCTTTGGTGTAGGTGTACGTGTTGGGTCGGTCACCTATCAGGCGTGGTGTGATGTCACAGATGATATTATCATCCATCCACCTACACACAGACACACACACACACACACACACACGTCAGTTAAGAACGACAGGCAGATAAATCACTGCTCAGCTTCAGGGTCAGTACAGTGTGTCAGACAAAACATCAGCGCTCAGATGCAATATGGCTTGTCAGCGTCAAATAACGTGGAAAATCAGACATGCAATGACCAGTGGGTTTCAAACAAGAAAAAAAACATAAATAAAAGTTAGTTTTTTTAATTTCAGCTAGTTGCATAGGACACATTTCTCATTTTAATTTGGTTTAAAATGATGTACTTAAATAAACTAAAGCTGAAATAGAAATTAATAAAAACTATATCGGCATATTTAAAAAAAAAACAATGCTACAAAAAATTACTAAAGCTTTAAATTCTAATAAAAAAATACAAACAATTATTCAAAATATTAAAAGTACCTCAATGATAGTAAAATATCAGTGCAGTAAATGTAACTTTGATATTGAATACACTGTGGTTTCAGTGTGGTGATTCTGTCATTCAGATTTATACGATGATGATGATGATGAACTGAACTCACTCCAGAGAGTCGATGAGCTTCTTGGGCTCGACCGGAGGAGGGTAGATGACCTCGTCGATGTGTCTGCGGTTGCAGTTGGCGTAGGCAGTGGAGATGTGGATGAACGCCTGCAGGTTCTGCATCTGCTGAGCCAGAGAGAGGAGCTGCTGTGTGGCCATGACGTTCAGCTGCAAGGCATGCCTGCGGGAGACATGAGCAAACTCAGCTTCTATACGGAACCTTCACGGCAGGCACTTCATATATAGAACCTTTTAGGGGTTCCATTCATGGGACCGTTTTATGCATTTAGTTTTAATTCATTTTTTAATTACATTTTATGAATTAAGCAGCACATAAACAACTTAAATAACCTGAAATAACCTGTTTTTGGCTTAAAGGGGTTCTTTAAAATTGAATCAAGAACAC